GCTCATCCAGAGCAGGATCTTATTATGAAGTACTGAACGCCTGCTTCTTTGCAAAATGTATACGCATGTGTGCAGCAGCTGTGCATGCAAAAATGACTGAATTTAGGTCAAATGCACTCTGACACTCTGACATACAGTTTAAGCAAGCTGCACAAAAACATTTTTTAACTAACGCTTTTCATTGTCAAAACATAATTTAACCCCAAGTTTAACAGAAATAGAGAAATAAAGTTTATTGAGATTTTTGTTTCCTCACACCTAACTAACATGACAGTGCTCCCGCAGTAGTGAAAAAATTTGTTCACATCTTGAGATTCAAACCCACAGGCACATCACTTCCTCCTCAAGAAAGACTGAAGTGGCTTGTGTGAGTCTTTAAGCCGTGTCTGCCCTATTTAGGGCTTGCATGCAAAACATTTTTTCATGTCACCTCAGGGTCTGTGGATTTATGTGTTTGTGACCATCTGAATGTTAGGGAAGGGGTTAAACACTTTTATCTCACCAGTAGTCTTTAAACACACGTCTGTTTTGACCTGGTCCCTGTGTCTTTAATTTAACTTGCTCTGAAACCTGGGGTGGAACAAAATGCAAATCAATCAGCTATTTCCAACCCAGCAGGGTGCAAACTCACATCTGATCTTATATGGTCTCAGCAAAATGTATATGTGGCACTTAGCCAAATCACATGACTGACAAGTCATGAATATTTCAAACTTCCTGGTCTCAACAAATGAGTGAATTGTTTCACTTTAAGAGATTGATTCAACACAAGGTACAGTAATGACTGTGAACAAGATAAAGGAGGTCCTGCAAAGTTCATATTCTGCTGTTATAATCACAAACTGTGAAGTGATATATTTCATATGGGACATATGGGACAAACCTCTTCAATGTAATAAAGAATCAAACTGTATTCATTGTCACTGGAATGTTTAATGACTAATCACGTTTACCATATGTTACATGTATACAGTGTGTTGCTGCTGCCATTAAAAAAAACACCTATTGTGTTTCTTCTCAAACTAAATACACCCTGTGGCTATATCAAAGCAAACCTTTATGGTCTCAGTCACATCTGAAATGTAATGATTATGCTGTCCCTGGCTTCAGTTCCCATCATGCATTGCATAAACATCATGCTAAATGATAAATAGGGTCTCTTTCTTTCTCCTATGATCACACCTGAAATGGTTTACCATTCTTAAGTCTGATCAGTTCCTTAAACTAATGTTGTGTTTTTCTGAAATCTGTTATATGTGATATAAAAAGTCAACAAAGTTTCACTTTTTTACAGTATGCAAACAGTTGTCATTTTATTCAGTCTGTTTCAAGTTAAGTCTGTTTGGTAAACAGAATACCATATCCTCATTATTAAACACAACATTTTTTTTACAATGTTTAAATGTGATAAAAATACAACGACAATAATAATTGTTTTGCATCATATACAGGTGTTAAAGCATTATTAGAATCGGTTATTAGAACATATTTCTGAATGTATATAATTATTTTTTTCGGCTACTAGTTAAGGTTTTAGAATACAATTACTGCAAATTTGCAATGGCAGATTTTCGAATCAATACCAGTTATTACATTAGGGAAACTAAAGACATTCAGGCTTATTTGCGAATGAAGGAACTTAAAATATTCAGGAAAAATTAATCGTGGGACAGCATAACTGAAAAAAACAGGCGTGCCTTGCCTATAAGGAAGTAACTGACTGAGCCGTTTTAAGCGTTTTCGTGTAGAGACAAAACGTTCGTCAGATTTATTGAGATGTGCAGATAATCTGCTTTACGGAACATGTATATGAAATAAAACAACACGAACATTTTTTTTGAATGGACATGAAAATGTGTTTACTTTTAAAACGGAGAGTTAGGATTGTAGGCTTCATACTGTATATACGTCGGTTGCATGCAGTATACGATGCAGTACTTTAGTGTAATTTGATTACAACAGTTAAAAGTAATTTCAACAATATCCATAGAATCTGATCAAGCGTGTCTTTAAAAAATAACCCTGATCTGCACCCCATGTGTTTGGAAAGAGTCCACGTTCCGTGAGAAAGCATTTTATCTTTGCTTAAATGCTTCTGCCTTCAACAAAATACTGACCCGATTACCAGTGTGTGGTCAATACTTAAGGAATATCTTACAAATTGACTATAAAAATACTGAAATAAAGGAATGCATAGTTGAAAAACTAATATTAAACCTACTGCTCGTCAGAAAGCACATTGATCAGAAAGGATTGAAGAGTTTACAGCCCAACGACATACATACCTCACCAAGGACATTAGCTAATCTGATTCTCTACGAAGAAATTCTGGAAAGTGAAAGATGCAGGTTTTTTTTTTCAGTTATAACCTTTGCTCCGTGTTACCGGAGCACACGCGGGTCACGCAATTCATGCACTACCTTCGCATAAAAACGGTACATCTCTAAAGCATGCTAGTACTACAAACACACTAGTTTGTCGGTAATTACAGATCAGGAAACAAAGTACAAATTAACAAACAGTCTGCCTAGCAAATGAATTACAAAAATACACCTTTAAAACATACCTTTAAAACAGAAATCAATGAACGGAGAATGAATAAGGAAGTCTCCGTTCCGCGATCACAGTGGGCTTGCAGAAGAGAAATTTGCAGCGGTGCTTCTTTCAGCTGTCTGCAGTTTCCGGGTTGGCCAATTTCTAACGTCATTGTGATAGAGTTACACAGGTTCAGACACAGCACGGACGCAGACAGAGAGACAGGCGATAACTATAAAAGGAATTGATTCATTCAGAGAGTCGGTAGAGGAAGAGGTGTCACATCTGAAGCCTCGGAGAGCCGATTTTAACATGAATGTAAATAAGAACAACTGAGGGAGGAACGGGCCGCTAGTTAACTGAAAAAGATTTGTCCTCTGGTCACACTTTTAATTTGCTTGTATTTGTAAGCCCCTTTTTTTCCTTTTTTTTTCAGAAAACACAACAGCTTGTTGAAATGTATTTTAATGACCCTGACATTAAAGATACTGAATTAGATTAATTGGGCCAAGACTAAAACTTCAGTTCCTGAATCGTAAATACAGTTAAGCGTCCGCAGGAAAGTCGTTTTTACGCACTGCGGAGATCACCCACTGGTTGCGTCCTCGTAGTATAGGATGGTAGTATAGTGCCGGCTTTTCGAAGCTTCCGTGAATTTTTATCTCGGGTGATGCAAGTGCTTGTACTATATGTGTATAACAAAAACAATACTGCTAAAATAACGTAATTATTAAGGCCACTTGACCTCTACGACACACTGTTGGTTGACGGCAGCATACGGTCGCCCGCAGTTCCTTTTTGCAGCCACGACTGGGGCGTAGAGAATCTGCACAGATATGAGCATCTACTCTTGCTTGACGTGGTGCAGCGATTCTGTCCTTCCGCGCTCAAAACGCAGAAATGTGTAGATGTTTACAGAAATACAATATCAGCGCTGTAATACTAGTGCTACGTTTTGGTGTGCTTTGATCAGTGCGTAATTAAACTGTGCATGCAAATATATTAATTCCCAAGGAACTTAGAGTGTTGCCGTTTCATAAAGTGGATTTGCCAGGACACACATCGCAGCATGGTATTTGGGCTGTTAATGTTAGTGAAAAGCTACATTTCTTCAGTTTGCCTCCGACATGTGCGTTAATCTAATTTCTGTGGTTCTGTAAATAGTTGGTGGACCAGTAGGTGGCGGTCTTTCCTTGGATCAGAATTGACAACAAATGCCTTAGTATGGTGACAGGAAATGCTGTGCTCTAGAGCGGTTATCAATTCGCGCTTGATTTTTCAACCAAAATAGGGAACAGCCGTGTATCAACCACTCCCACAATGATCTTTTTTCTGCAGAGGTCCAGTTGGTTACATTTCAGATTACTTCTGAATGAGAGCAGTTTTTGAAACTGAGAAATTGTTAACACCAATTACTAAAGTCATTTTAGAGCTGGAAGCAAATCTAAAATGTACCCCTAACAAACTGACATCATTAGCCTACGATTACGAACACAGCTGGTGCACAAACCAGAAGGTGGAACAATCTCTTAGGACCTTGGTTGGGACCAAGATGGTGCTATATCATTAAACTGAAATCCTGACTCTTCTGGGTTCAATTCTAGTGTACCATCTGCTTGGAGTTTGCATGTTCTACTCGAGGGGTGATCCCGTTTCCCTCTACTTCCTAAACCTGCAATCTTTGTCCTCCCCAAGAGCGACCACTGGTCCCAGTCTGCTGGCTGAATAGGGCTCGAAATGCCGAATCCCGATAATTCTGCACGACATGCAAAAGATAGACCTTATCTTTCGAAGAATATCCCACGACACTGTAATAGTATAGGAGTGCTAAAGCAGGGGTTCTGTGCAAATTTCAGTTTTGGCTTGCGCAATCCAGCTCCAGAATGTCCCTGTAAATTCAATAGTTAATATCGCACTTCCCTCCTGACTTGCTGACCTGCGAGCTCACCATAGCTGATGCGCGTCACCCAGCGGGTCTGTTTCAGTAGTATTCCTCATCTGTTCGAATAGTCCAATATGATGGGAGGAATTACTAATTATTATCCCAATTGTCTTAATACATACTAATCCAGCTAAACACGCTTTAGTACTGGATTAACATTTCAATATAATTAGCACAACAAATTGGGCAGAAAAGATGCAAGGCAATTTATTGCCGGATGTTTTTGATTCACTAGTATAATAATGCAAAAAGTACCAATACGTTAAAAACATATTTGATAACTATGTTCATAATAGAGCATCTGTATCCGGAGTTGTTAGCATTTTACATTATTGCCAATCACACGTAAAAGGCAGATTTCCCTCACACATGTATCATTTTAAATTCCTTAAAATGCTCTGAGGTCAGTTCTAATCGAGATCCGCTGACAAGTACAGGTGAGTGTAATGATTCGCTCGTTGTACTTAACAAGGTGATGTAATAGGTCTCAGGCTTTATAAAAAAGGATCGCCTCAGACGAAAGCCTTTGTCGTGAGAGAAAAGGAGAGAACGCAATTCTTTAATAGAAAGTTTTGTATAACTAAACCAGCTGAAGAGACGAAAGTCGTCTAGGTGTAGTCTTACAATGCCAAAGGATAGGGTTCATATTAACCTTGTGATCATTGGTCATGTGGATAGTGGAAAATCCACTACCACTGGTCACCTCGTTTATAAATGTGGCGGAGTAGACCCCAGGACTATCGAGAAGTTCGAGAAGACTGCAAGCCAGGTACAGCCTTTATTGATGCATAAACTATTTTAGAATTTAACGGTATTCCATCGTGAAGTAGGCTATAAAGAGCGGTGTACAGTAGGGTTTTTTGGCACATCACTTTTTTTGGAACTATTTACGTCTAAAGTGTTCCATATAATCTACTGGTAATTGCAAGACTTTTTAACGGCTCTGAGTATGTTAATATAAAACCAGGACCATATAAAAATGAAATGAAATTCAGCAAGGACCACCACTTTACTGTATCCCCTTCTAGATGGGAAAGGGCTCGTTTAAATACGCCTGGATTCTGGATAAACTGAAGGCGGAGAGAGAGAGAGGCATCACCATCGACATCTCGTTAATGAAGTTCAATACTCACAAATTCTACATTACCATCATCGACGCACCGGGACATCGCGATTTCATCAAAAACATGATCACCGGAACATCGCAGGTGAATTCGCAGTTTAAACACTGGGCCAGATGGATTAGTCTAGATGCACTTTTACCTAATGTTGTGCAAATTGCATCAAGTAGGTCATTTCTACGTTCTTTTTAAATGGGTGTTCTGGTTACCTTCTGTACCCCCCTTATCGCTGTATGTACGGATTGAGTCTCTCTTCTAGGCTGATGCTGCGCTCCTAGTGGTCTCTGCGGCCAGAGGCGAATTTGAGGCTGGTATTTCCAGGAATGGCCAGACAAGGGAACATGCTTTGCTGGCTTACACGCTGGGTGTTAAGCAGCTCATTGTCTGCGTCAACAAAATGGATGTGACGGAGCCCCCTTACAGCCAGAAGCGCTTCGATGAGGTGGTTCGCAATGTGACCATCTACGTGAAGAAAATAGGCTATAACCCTACAGCAGTGCCCTTCGTGCCAGTTTCTGGATGGGCTGGAGAGAACATGCTGACTCCCTCCAATAAGGTATTTAGCATGTTGGCTTATGCTTGAGTTGTGGCATGCATCTTCTCATAAGGCTTTTTATGGTGTATTTATTTTTCTCCCCTCCCTTTTAAAAGATGCCTTGGTTTAAAGGGTGGAAAATTAAACGGAAGGAAGGCAATGCAAATGGCAAAACCTTACTTGAAGTCCTGGACTCGATTCTGCCCCCAGTGCGCACAGTCAACAAACCCCTGAGGTTGCCCTTACAGGATGTTTATAAGATAGGAGGTATTGTTTCTAACCTATCCTTTGAAGTTTACAGTATCCATTATGCAGTCATTGCAGGTCAAGCCAGGAATGTGCCAGCATGGCAGCTGGGTTTATTGCTCAAAGTTGCCAAATGTTTGGAGAGGCAGTCTGGTCTTACACTGGTCATACAGGAATGAAACAGACTGCTTTCCCATTTAGTCATCTCCCTTTTTATAATGTACATCCTTTTGTGACTCTAGTAGAGAATGACTCAAATGGGGAGAACTAATGCATGACTTACAATGTTTTAATCCATAACTAAGTGTGGAGATGCAAAGGTGCATATGTATTCCTAATGGCACTAATATTATCATGGGTACATTAGCACAGGTACCCTGATGAGCTTTTGTTTTTTTTACCCACGAAGTGCTTTTGGACTTAACCAGTTGTTTATAATCTCGGAAGCTTATCTGCTTTGTACACTTCCTAGTACAAAAAACCGCTCTTTGAGTAACATCTGAATAAGAGTCAATGGTATTGAGGCCAATTGTAACCATTCTATGCTTATTGCTTCAAGGACTAAAAATAACTGAACTTGTAAATCCAAGCATTGTAGTCCTAAATGTCAATTTTTTTTTTAAATGGTTTACATCTCTTGTAGGACTGCAATTGTACAGTCGATGGGAAATGCTCAACACTCTTGCATCCCTATCACTTCTCCAATGTCCCCAGGTATTGGTACTGTACCAGTAGGAAGAATTGAGACGGGGATATTGAAGCCAGGGATGATGGTGACCTTCTCGCCTGCGAGACTTACTGCAGAGGTTAAGTCGATAGAAATGCATCACCAAGGCCTCCAGACTGCTCTCCCTGGGCACAATATAGGCTTCAACATCAAGAATGTTTCGGTGAAAAATCTGCGGCGTGGGGACGTGGCGGGGAATGCTCAGCATGACCCTCCCTCTGATGTCTCCAGCTTTGTTGCACAGGTACCCCTTCCGATCCAACATGGTCAACCTCTGGTCCTAGAGAACAATGGGGTCTCCTAGTTGCCACTGTTTCCTTTTCAGCTGAAATAGCTCATGGTGACATTCCTTCTAAACTTCCTAAACATTCCCATTACTAAACCTATTGATTTGTGTCATGTGATCTTTAAGGACTATACAGTCTTTCGCATGCATCATGGCAAATTATCAGGATTTGGCATTTTGAGCCCTATTCAGCCAGCAGACCGGGATCAGGGGGTCGCTCTTGGGGAGGACAAAGATTGCAGTTTTAGGAAGTAGAGGGAAATGGTATCACCCCTTGAGGAGAACATGCAAACTCCAAACAGATGGTACACTAGAATTGAACCCAGAAGAGTCAGGATTTCAGTTTAATGAAATGGCACCTTCTTCATCCCCAAGAGGTCGTTCCACCTTTTTGGTTTGCGTTCCAGCTGTGTTCTTAATCGTAGATTAATTTAGGTTTGTTAGGGGCACTTTTTAGATTTTTGCTTTCAGCTCTTAAAAGGTCAAATGACTTGAAAAATGTGTAATTTAGTGTGAACCCTGTAACAATTTTAGTCTCAAGAACTGTTCTCATTTGAGGACTAGGTTTGGAAGCCATTTATATACTATTCAACATTGTCTTTTAAGGTGGAACTGAGGAGAAGTGTCATTTGACCACCTTTGTCACATTAACTGCTGCCCTTCCCTACTCCTCTTAATAGGTTATCATTTTGAACCATCCTGGCAAGATCAAAGCAGGCTACTCTCCAGTTGTCGACTGCCACACAGCCCACATCAGCTGCAAGTTTGCGGAGCTGAGGGAGAAGCTTGACCGGAGGTCTGGGCAGAAACTCGAAGATGACCCTCAGGTCCTGGTATCTGGAGATGCCGCTACTGTCAACCTGGTACCAAACAAGCCAATGTGTGTTGAGAGCTTCTTCAATTATCCTCCTTTAGGTGAGCACTAAATTTCTATTCTCATCATAGGAATGTTTGTGCCATCTGTGCTCCTTGCACTCTAGGAATCTTGTTTTCCTAATGAAAATGCCACTTCCTTTTTTTTTTTTTTCTGGTAGGTCGTTTTGCTGCCAGGGACCTGAGGCAGACCATTGCAGTTGGGGTCATCAAATCGGTAGAGAAGGTCAATGGGAACCCAAAGAAATCTGTCCAGAAAACCCAATCCCTTAAATAACTTTGTTTTTGACCGTGCTGGATAGAAATGTTTCGGAGCTTGTGAATGAAAGTCTGACCTGAGTTCTTGGTTCTAGACCATGGGGGTTTTGTGAATCTGTTAACATAAGCACTTTAAGTTTGCAGTACAGGAAGCTGTTTATTTTCAATTTCATTTTGTGGCTTTGATTATAGGGAATTTGTTCCAAATGTGGTTTGAGCTCTGTTCAGTAAATAAAATTCTCACTGGAGCATTTGTCTACTCATTTATAAAGTTTAGGTGGGGAGTAGTTTTAAGATTTCCCCTCCCCCTCCTTATTACCCTATTCTGTAGATGGAGGATTCAATCTTTAAATTTCTCCCAGGATTTGAACAAAGGATTAACTGGTCCAACAGTATATACTTATCTACAAGGTTTAAAGAAGTGGCTTTAAGCTGCTGTTGGAAAGGGTGGGTTTATTGATTAAACCCGAGCAGACTTGGCTTCTTTTCTAAGCAGTAGAGAAATGGTCTCTAATGATCAGATTAGAAAATGGGCTCACTTGTCCTTAAACACTGGCCTACATCTCCCTACAGTAGTGTATTCAAAATTGGGAAATAAAATGGGAGGGGGATATGTTGAAGGTGATGGACTCAAAGACCGATGTGGTACTAAATTACAAAAATCAGCAATACATGTACATCTTCTCTGGCACCACCCAGAAGATTAAAGAAACTTGAGTATGTCTCCTTGGTAGTTGCTGAATTTGCTTATAACCAAAGCACAGAAAAGCCTTCTGCAATAACCAGTTTATTGCTTCAAGCTTTAGCTACATCCCTGGGAGTATTCTTGCTTTGTATCGCAATTTAATGGTTTTTCCGCCGGCTTTAATAGCTCTTGTTACCAAGAGGGCTAGTGCTAAAGGCCTACTTGCTTTCTTCAAATGGGCAGATCATGATGGCAAAGCAAGAGCTAATCTGTCAGATGTACAGTAGGTCAATTTAATATCTCCAATTCAAATATACTGTAGATGGAGATGCTGCAGTACCCCTGTAAGAGCTTAAAGCAACTGGGGGAAAAAAGCTTAATTAAACAGTTTTAAGTACCTCTGCCAGAGTACTCTGAAGTATTTCAGTGTGTAATTTCAGCTTCTTGGTAGCTAAAGACCTTGAAAAAGCTGTTTGATGCAATGCACAGTTTAACATGTATTGAGTTTTGATGGGGAGGGAAGCCCTACAGTCCAGTGAATATCACTGCACTACCCTGCCAAATCAAATAGTTTTAAAATGTCCTTCTTTGTCAACCTCTGAAGACAAAGGTTGTAATTGATGCCCTTTACCAGTAACAGGGCTTTATTAAACTTCCTAATACCATGACTGTGCATGAGGAAGAGCTTTAGATTTACTTTGAACTGCCCAGTGCTCCATTTTACCTTAGACCTTGAAGAGAAAGACCTCTTATAGCTGGTGTCCCAGTGGTTAGCATTGGGTTCAATTCTGGAGCTGGGGTGCTATCTCTGTGGAGTTTGTATGGTCTCTCCATGTATGGATTTCCTGCAGGGGCTTCTAGTTCTTCCATGTCCAAAGACAATAGTGGTAGGTTAATTGGCTGCCAGTAAAATTGGCCCTGGTGCAGTTATGCATTGTCTGTGGTAGTATGTGTCCTGTGATGTACTGGTACAGTATCCTGTCTTGGATACATCTTGCTTTGCGCCCATTGCTTGACAGCCTCTGGTGTCCACAACCCTGCCTTGGATCAAGAGGTTAAAAAATGGATGGATGAGCCTCATGTCACTGCCAGTCAGGGCTGTTGGGTACAAAAGAGGCATGAAGTCATTTTCTTCAACATAAAACTTTTATTAATTGATAAAATGGAATGACAGGGTGGAAGTCCTTCTTGACTGCTCTATTCAAACAGCACAACTCAATACTGGAACCAGAACTGGCAGCTGAGCAGAAGTCAAATCTGAAGGTTTACATCTAGTCCAGTTATTTCTCACAATTAAATATGTAAAAACAGTCATGGCAAACCCATTTAAAAGCATATCCAGAGCCATTTACAACAGAACAGCTTTAAAAAAAAAAGATCCTTGTGCAGAAGTTGACATTTGACAGGCTCCTCTGAGAGAGAGTCCCCCATCGTTCTTCTGGATGAAATAAATATTCACTAAAATACAATTGCACTCCTGTTATTTTTTGTTTCTTTTCAAAGAAATATGAACACGGTCCAAGCCTAAACATCTACACAAATTGTTCATTGGGTATATTCTTGCCCAAGGTTTATATTTAATTTGTTTAACAGGTGGGAAATTTGTTTTTTGGAAATTATAATCTGAAATCCAGTTTTGAATTTCCAGCTATGGGACAAACTGTATTCTACATATAAAAATTACTTTATTTTCAATACTCGTTGAAGTGAATTTTCACACACTTTCAAATGGATATACAGCATATACGTTAACTTTAAAATGTAATGGACCAGGAACATTAAATAACACTGGAAGCTTTCATATAGCAATGTACTGTTTCTTGTTAATACAATAAGGATTTTAATAGCTAATGCAAATTGCTCATTCCCCTGCACAGTTAAATAAAATACAACAATTAATGAGGCACAATAAGATTCTGGTACAGCATGATTCTATTAATACCTTCGCCAGCCACTGCTGAGCTTCTAAAAACATATTTCACAATCCAATATATCACAAAAGTTTAATAATGTCCTCATACCTTCCAGAGAAGACCACATGCTAGGACACTGTAATACCTAGATACTGTATATGTGCATGTATACGCTATCCTGCCAGATAGCTCCAGACAGGTGTCCAGACACCAGAGGGATACCGTTACACAGAGTGCACCTCCAGAACAAAATGGAAATGCCCTCACTTGCGAATGACAGGAAATTTCGCAAGATGTTCAGGTGTGAGATGCATCATTTAGTTTGGATCACAATACAACTTGTATCATGAAACTAGAGAGGAACATATACCAGAGCCACTTCACCAAAGGAACGTTCCAGTTTCTAATCAGAGTCGGACAAGTCATGAAAGAGACAGAATATACAAAGTTTTTAAGAAATCCATGCAAATTTGAAGGATTTTTAGTGCAACCAGCTTAGGACAGTAGGTGAAAAATATAAAACAAAATTGCCATCTTCTGGACTGTCTAAAGATGGAACGACTTCAAGTAGTCTGACAGCTGTCGCTAATGCTGATATTGTCTGGACATTTGTGACAGTGTATACGAAGCACATTCATTAACAAAAATATTATGCAAGCGAGGATTAGGAATACATTTAATGAATATATATTTCATCCTTTGACGTGCATTCTTGGTAAGCTCTGTGGAAGTTACACAACCATCTTACCACATTTTTCAGTCCTGCACTCTCTTTTTTAAGAGAGAAGTGAAGACTTAAAGACTAATTTATTCCTTTATGCGTCTGTTTTTCCTGATCTTGCAATGTTACTGAGAAACACAGAGATGATCTTAACGTTAAGACAGTCAAGCTTATACGGGTTAGAACTTTGAACAAGACTGCCCAAGCTTTGTAAGCGCAGGCAGGGCATTTTTTGTATGAGTGTATATGCATATATATGTATATGTATGTACATACATACAGCTGAACAGCAAAGACAGAGATGTTACGTAAGTGCTAGATTCCAAGGATGGCTACAGCAAACCCAGTAAGGCCAGGTTCCAAGGCTATGATAATACTGGCAAAGGCAGGATAACACAGTATATTTACAATATCTATGTACTTTACACCTCATAAGGTGAACCTACATGATTTATTTTATCTTTTGTGTTTCTCGTTCTCTTTTATTATTTTAACAGCTGCTATATACACAATGAGGTGCCCAGGGCTGTGGGGTGGCAGCAGTCTTACTCTTTGCAGGAAGGAAGCATAGTGCGGTGCATGAATGATGTGCCCTGTGCAGGTCCAGCTGGTCGCTAATCAGAAAGGATGTGAACAAAAGACATGGGGAACACGCCCTTTCTCTCAGGCTGCCCTTCAATGTGCCCGATCTGTGAACAAAAGCACATAAAACCGAACACTCAAAGATCTCTCCGCACTCGCGTAGGACAAGTGTTTGAATCTAGATCCCTCACTCCTTCTTTAGTTTGATATCTACAAATTACCCCCAATAAGACGGCAATATGGACTAATAATTAAGGCCAGTGAAACTTCTGCTGTTTTCCAAACAAGCGTCTTTAATGTTAGAGACGCTCAAAAGCATTAAGGTCCACCTTCAGCCCCAGTGACACGTGGTCCCTAACAAATCCCAGTCTGAGATGGTTAATGTCATACAAGAGACTTGCTCTTTTGTGCTCATAACAAAATAGTCAAAACAGCTAAATCACCCTGCAAATCACAACTGGCACAACCCTGAAGCTAAGCAGGTGTGAGGCTGGCCAATACCTGGGTGGGAGACCTTCCAGGCAAGCTAAGGTTGCTGCTGGAAGTGGTATTAGTGGGACCAGTAGGGGGCGCTCACCCTGTGGTCTGTGTGGGTCCTGATGCTCCAGTATAGTGACAGGAACACTATACTGTAAAGAGGCACCATCCTTCAGATGAGACATAAAACCAAGGTCATGACTCTCTGTGGTCATAAAAAATCCCAGGGCACTTCTTGAAAAGAGTAGGAGTGTTAAGTGTTCCCCTTGGATTTGACCTATTGTGGTTTCCTAATAATCCCCAACTATGAACTGGCTTCTTCACATCTGATAGCTGATGTGTGGTGAGCATACTGGCGCACTATGGGTGCCGTCGCATCATCCAGGTGGGGATTGCCTGTAAAGCACTTTGAGTGAAGTGTCCAGAAAAGTGCTACATAAATGTTAGGAATGATTATTATGTTCTTTTTTCTGTAAAATCAGAAGTGAGATATAAACTTTAGACTTCTTGCCACAAAGTCTATTATTCTAAAAAATTTATTGTAACGGTTAAAGTATTAGTTAATGACCTAATTTTTGTCATTATATTTTTTCTGTACTCACCCACCACTCTTGGTCCTCCTCTCCAGTAACAATAATCACCTCTCCCTCCACGAACGTCAGCTCATCATCATTGTCGGCCTGGCAGTCATAGATAGTCTTGACCCGCCTTGCTTTGTTCTTGCCCTGGAAGCAGACCACTCTTTTATTCTTTCCAGTATGCTATACCAGTAAATAGTTTCAGAGCTCAAATCCACAAGAGAGGAGTTCCGAATAAATGCCCATGACTCCACTCCGGGTGCCCTCAGTTTCCACAAGCACAGTTTTAGATGGGATTCTGACAAAGCTTAAACAAAGTACTTTCAGCAATACCATTACGTCACACTTGAAACGAGACTAGACAAAATTAGATCCCATTGTGGTGGACTGATTGTCGACTGTGAAAATATTGTCTCTAGGTTACAAAAAATACAATTACATCCTGGAAAACAAAGTGTTCACTCAGAAGGCACACTGGATGGCACTATCTACCCAGATTTTTCAAAGGGATTATACTATCATGACTTCATACCCAATAGCCTTTTGTGTCATTGTATGTGTTTGTTGTTTTAACTCATTTGTTATTACTTTAAAAACTTCCAGCAAAAATTATTTTGCACTTGGTTGAACTCCTGCGCAAACACACACATACACCCACTAAATGTGGTTTTATTAATTTGTTGACCTTTTAGAGCTTGTATAAGTCATGCAGTATTTGGTTCTCAACGTTCTGTCTGCTTAAGAGAGCAGATGTGCAAAATTACAATTTGACCTCCCCCAGAACGTCTGCTTAGCAGCTCCATAATTAAGGCGTTCTGATGCAGGCAAGTACAGTACGTGGTAAATCCTGGTATCTTATTCCAACTACTGTGGCAATGTGGAATAATGCCAAGATCAGATCACTGATGAGTACATTTTAAAATATTTAAATCTTATTCCTGTATAAGATTTGTCTGACAGAAAAATGTTTCCCTGACATCTTACCCCATTAATTTTATGAGGAAATTAGATTTAACATCATGTTCTGTCACAATTTTCAATAACATACAGTAGCTGATCTTTAGTATGGAGTAGTTGTAATGGTGTACTCAATTTAAGCCATTAAGTAATGAAAGGGATAGAAAAAAGTTACTTTAAGGCAGTCAATATGTCTTTAGCACTCTGAACACCAGCTTGAATAGTCCCAAAGAAAGGTCCCAAATCTGAGACGGGCACAGAAACTTGACAAGTTCACTTCTCTTCCCTGACCTATTTCCTCTTCTATCAACCCCAGCCAGAATGAAAACTTTTTTCTCCAAACCACTAAAAGTAATAAGAAAACTCACTTGGATTTCTCTTGGCTTTTGGGCAACACAACACAAATTATGCTTTATCAGATGCTTGATCTAATTTAGTAATAATTTTTATTGGATTTTGAGCATTTACCAATCTAACCTACAGTACACATAAAGAACTGTCAGTTATCTCTGCATATTCTATAAGAATCCCTTCTAGAATATAATTAAACTGGAATGACGTCTGAGCAATAAAAAACCTCTGAAAATGACACGTAAGAATATTTCACAAAAGCGAAGCAGAGTTACCTTTTACCTTTTAAGTTATGTCTCTCCTCTCCTCCAGTTATTTCGCTCTTGGTAAGTTGCATCCCTCGCATTACAAATATGTCAGTTTAAAGGATTTCTATGGCATTTGAGCAGTAAAAGAGCACATGCTATGCCCTGCACAGACACTAGTAAGTTGAGACTTGGCTGTTTCATTAGTCAGCTTCATCTAGGATTCCCAAAGGGCTTAGTTCCATTAGGGTTGAGCAGGCTTGAGTTGGCTTGGGTATCCTGAGTTTGCTATTCAACAGTAAATGCTATTCAGCCATTTCCAGCCGTGAGATTTAGTGTGCCATCACGCATCATGTCACATGTAGCTTGTGTGACAAGTAGCTAAGAGGGTGTGCAGCAGGGGTGCATGAATAGTCCTTGATCTCTCACTGCTGATGCAGAAGTCATAGAGGTAAGACAAACTGCTCAGCAATTGCCAATTCCAAATTGTGAGGGTACACACATGGGAAAAAAATCATTTTCAGTTCCAAGATTACAAATAACATAATAGAGGAGCAACAGGTCTCTCACTGACATCACTGCTGGCCTGCAGGTGCCTGGGAAGCCGAAGGTGATGCTGTGATGTTAATAGAGTTATGGCTAACTGATTCATCTGGGCACACAGAGCTCAACCTAGACTCAGAGTGAGTACTTGTACTGAAAGCGTACTGAAAAGAAAGATTCAAGAGAATTCAGGACTGACAGAGGACATCTGAGTCTCAATCTCAGGTTTCCCTACAACTAACTGCCTGTTCAAAGCCCCACTCTCTCAGCCTCCCGGCTCTTAAAATGGCAGACAAGGAAGGTTCTTCACTGACCGTGTTGATTTTCCTGGGCAGAGGAACTGGCATCTCCATCACGGCGGGTGGTGTGCCATTGGTGTCCTCCGAGAGCTGTCTGGGAGCGGCCTCGCCCAGCTGGTTGGATCCAGGGCTGTCAGAAGGCGGTGGTCTGGGTGCCGATTCTCCAGGGAGGGACTTCTGAGGGGTGTCTGTACCTGGGGGTTTAGGGGGTACCTCTGACAGCTGAGGTTTGGGAGGAAGGTCCTTGACCTGAGGCTTCGGAGGGAGGTCTCCGAGCAGCGGTTTGGGGGGCAGGTCAGAGAGCTGGGGTTTGGGAGGCAGTTCTCCTGGTTTGGGCGGCAGATCCCCAACTTGCGGCTTGGGGGGCAGGTCCCCTGGCTGCGGCTTCTCTGGCAAGGGAACTTTCGGAGGGATCTCTGCAGCCTGGGGAGACTTCTGAAACACATCGGGCTGCTGGTTGGACTTATCTATGGAAGGGTGATGGATGGTGTCGATTTTTCTTAATGCCACTGCAAGAGAAGGAACACAATTTACGGATTGGCCTTGTTGTTGCTGTGATGATTAGAACGAAAGTAATTTCAAATCGGTAACCCTTTCCGTTAATTCTTTGTTTATTAACAAATAATTGACTGACGTCACTCATTTAAACGTATAAACAATTCAAAAATATCTCCAGGTCATCATTAGAAATGGGACTTTGCTCTCACTGTTTATATGGGACAATAAAGATTAGAAAAACCTAATGCTGTTTACCTTGTAAACTCCCAGATCATCATTATTATCATCAATTGCAGGGGAGGCGGAGCCTATCTTGGCAAGCAAAGGGCGCAAAGCAGGATACACCCTGGACGGGAAGCCAGTCATACATAGATACAAACACACACGCTCACAACCGTAACTAATTTTCCCCAATAGCCAGTTAAACTACCAGTAGGTTTTTGTGCCATGGGAGGAAACCCCAAAACACATGGGGGGAACATTCTGTTACTGTATGTTGTGTAGTGTGGATTACACTTTGGGGCTGATCCAGGCAGGTCCATGACATCACCCCTTCCTCCACAGATGGTCAGGCATACTTTCCACTCTAACCTTAGAGATAATTCCCCTCTTCACGCACTCTCCTCTGAGGATAGTGTTGTATATGGCCTCCTTCTGGGGTATTCACCCTAGATTTGAGGTATTCTGTGTTATTAACCTAGCTGCTGTCAGTTATTGTGTCTTTCATGCTGTTTTGGAGTGATAGCTAGACTTAGGATCTCTGAATGACACACATATTCCATATCCCACAACGGACACAGAGATCAGAGCTTCTGGCTCCGTAGTGTCTTCTCTACCATAGCAGACACCCTCCAGTCACCATCAGTGTTTCACAACCCACAAACATTCAACAAAGATATACAGTATGTAACAGTTGCTGGCGCTCATGACGCCCAGCCAGTCTGCTCGTTGACTTTAGTCGGGGATGGACCGCACTTTGCGCTCAATTTGGCCATGGACACCGAGTGGGCATACAGCCTTTGCCTTGTGCCACCAGGCTTCATTTACTAACAGATGTCTGCACTCCTGGCGCCCCCAGCCTGCAATCTGGAAATATTACCAGAGGGAACACTAAACGCACTTGGACTGTGCTCTGCCACGGCCATTGCAGCTGCCACCACCTTCTGCACTCAGTCAGTCTGCAATATCTAAACATGCAGCCACTTCATTCCACTTGCAGTGTAGCTTGTAATCACAAAGGCAAGACACACAGCTCAAGTCAAGCGGTAAGACTTTGAAGCGACCAACTCCCTCCGGGTTTGTCGCTATTACTCCCAGTCCCTCAAGGGCAATGGATGAGCAAAGTAAGCCTGTATTGCCTGCTAGCTTCCCAAATCGCAGAAATATGCATGCAGAGGTCAGCCTTGCTGAATAACATGACTGGAAGCCCACCCGCAGCCGTCGCTGATCAAATCACCAACGGTCAACGACTGGTGTTTGAAGGGCTCTGCCTCTCACCATGCCACACCTAGAGCAGCTTTAAGATCGCATCCCAGGTGCGGAACTGAACCCAGGCCCCCAGGACTGCAAGGCTGCAATACTAATCACTGTACCACCATGAATAATAATAATAATAATAATAATAATAATAATAATAATAATAATAATAATAATAATAGTAATAAAGAGGCGTCTTTGGCAGTTCTAGTCTAAAAGGAGAGACAGAAAGCCTGATTATTGCAGCTCAGGACCAAGCACTCAACACCAGATACTACCAGAAGAACATCTTGAAACAGCCAGTTGATAGAAAATGCAGAATGTCCAATAATGCAGAAGAACATGTTAGCCATACTATTGCTGGCTGTACAACATTTGCACTGTCCGAGTATACCAGTATAACAAGGTGGCCAGCTATATCCACTGGACAATGTGCAAGCATCTGGGGATACAACAGCCTGGCAAGTACTACGAACACGTACCCGAAAAGGTTGTCAACACCGCTGATATTACCGTCGTGTGGGAGGTGCCCATATTCACAAATCGAAAAATACTAGCAAACCGTCCTGACATTGTGCTGCATGACAAGAAAGAGAAAACATGCCTGCTGATCGATATAGGCATTCCAGATGACTCGAACATCATGATTAAAGAAATTGAGGAACTGAGTAAATACAAGGACTTGGAAGCTGAGTTCAGCGGGATGTGGAATGTGAAGACAAGAGTTGTGCCCGTCATACTGTAGTTGAAGCACTTTTGAGGGACACTCAAAAAGGGATTTGATCATAACCTTTTGGTGCTCCCAGGCCATCCATCAGCAGAAGATTGCACTAATGGGCACTGCACACATCCTTCGTAAGGTGTTAGGGTAAATCGCTTCGATCTCTTGTTGAGATCTGGATTTACAAAATACTGGCAAAAAATATCCGGTGAGAGGAACTTATCATAACAACAACAACAACAACAACAACAACAACAACAACAATAATAATGGGCATCACAATGGCGCAATGGTCAGAATTGCTGCCTCGTTTCGCTGTGACCCTCAATTTTGGAGATGAAGTGCTATCGGTTTAGAGGTTCGATGTTCTCCCCATGTTTGCCGGTCCTCCGGCTTGCTGTCGTACTCCAAAAACATACTGGCAGGTTAATTGGCTCCTGGGGAAATTAGCCCTGAGACCCACTGGCGTCCCAGCCAGGGTTTATCCCGCCTTGCATCTTGCTTGCCCAAACAACGCTGAATTGGATGAAGAAGTTAGAAAATGGATGGATAACAATAATGGCAGACACAAGAATAAATTACTAGGAAGATAAACACTGTAGAAGTCTCATCCTTAGTTTGAGCCACAGCCAACCATGATCCTGACAAGGTATCAGAACTAAATTTAATTAATTCAATTGATTTACAATTTAAATGATTACATAGATTACATTGACTATATATACTCTATCATTTGTCAGTATAATTGTTTGCTTTGTATTGAATTTTATACTGTATACAGTATATATGATATACAGATTGTAGTTTTAGATTCATATTCAGTAAAATGTCACAGTTTCACTCTGTTGTCTTGACATGACATGAAATCATTGAATTAACACACTGTATTTGTATCAGTCTATATTATGGATTCCTGCAGCGTTAAGTTTGCTCATCGGTTATTTTAAATGTAGGCCGAGATGGATTATCCTGTCACTTAAGCGGGGGATGAAGAAGGAACGAAATCCACTTGAGACACACATTCAGAGTTTTGTCGAGACTCCGTCCTCTCCAAGTGTCGCCTAGACTCCCGAGGGTCCTCCCCTCGTTGCCTGCTCTACTGCTCTCCCAGACTGCACCGTCAGCTCAGGGCACATCCTGATCTGACTGCTGGCAAAGCCCTGGGCTCCTTTTGACTGGCAATAGGCTTCACTGTCCTACTGTCCTTACACCAGTTGCCTCCCCTGCGTCAGGGCAGGCAAGACGCCAGCTCAAACTGGTGAAGACACGTCAATGCCGCACTGCCCCCTAACATCTGTTTCGCATGCCCAATAGCTTTAAAAAGCTGAAATATTCCTGTTTCAAGAGTCATCTATAAACAAGGAAATCCATTTATTACTGCTTCAAGTATATTTGTGTTTAAAATACCTTGCAACCTAACAAAAGCTTAAAAGGTTTGCTCGTTTTCACAAACATATAGGTTAAATCTTTCCCTAGTGCAGAAAAGCATTTGAAACACTCTTTTTTAGCAATTTAACACTGACATGGCTGCACATGCGCTGCAATAAGATTGATATTGTAAACCTTGGCACTCTTGCTTCAATTGTCCTTGCTGTTGTAATGTCTTGACTAATAAAAGGCAAAACAAGTTCAGATCCAAACAATGACACACTGTACTGGTGTACGGTGACATAAACAAGGCCAGCATGAGCGATTCCTGGCACAAGGCTAAGCTTATATACTGTACACAAGATCCTCTTCTAATCATCATCTTCTATTATGATCTGCATTCAAGCTGTCTGCGGTGGACGTTCAAGTTTCTTGAATATAAACTATTAAGAGATTTTATGATGTCGTAAATATTTTAAATATGTGGTGTTTGCAACTAGATCTGGGTATGTTTGTGGCATGATTTGTGGTTCAGGAGGGTCTGTATTTTTGCAACTTTATAACACATAATTATTATCCAATATCACAGTAAGGGTCTCAACATCTGCGATTTTAACATGCGCAAATTCACGATTCGGTCTGGCCAATAGGGTCTTGGTCTTGAAAGCGAAGCAGAGCTAGGTAACACTGAACTGAAGGATGTTAACTGCAACTCTTAAATGAGTGGTGCAACAGAGTAGGATTGAGAGATAAATTTAGCTAGTGAGTGAAGTTCTCCCTGATGCGTGCCCAAGTACCCACTACCCAGTATCCGCATATTAGGGTGGTCTTGTTTTTGGATTGTAACAAACGGTTCTGGGTCGGAAGTACGGGGAATGACAGGTTGGAGATGAGTTTACAGGTCTCCTGACAGTTTTATTGCCTTTTTCATTACAACATGTGCTAATCAGGAAAGCAGAGAGAAAGTGCAGGCTGGACACAGAGGGGGGATTCACATAGTTTGTTTTAACTGATTACTATAAGCTTGTGATTACTGTTGTCCCTTTCAGTTGATCAATATTATTTAAATTAACATGAAGCCAATGCATTAGTACTTTAACTGTCATATAAAGGAGGGTTACTTACTGTATGTCTTTTAATCATACATACCATCTACTTTTAGTATATGATGTAATGGTATAGGGGTGGCTAAATCTGGCTAACTGCGACAGTATTCTGTCAGAAAGCCTTGCAAATCTCGAGACTCTTTCAAACTCCAGTACTACAAACTGGACCGTTGCTTACCTTTCTGAGGTAGTTTGGGAAGAACTCTCGGGCCAAGTGTGGATTTTGTAGTGCTAGTGCTTAAAAAAAAAACGCAAGACAACAAAAACATTAGTGCTTCCTGTAATCAAAGCCACCTATCATTCTTCTCAGTGGAATTCAGTGTTGATCTTTAGGAAGGTTAAGAACTTTCCAAGTTCTTTCTCTTGTTAAGAAAGCTATTCATATCTCACAAGTTACTTCTGTTCTAGTTCCATATTGTATATTACTAAACGTACATTACATCAATCAAAGATGAAAAAAAAAAACGAATGTTCCTGATGTGCACATTTATAAATTGGCAGTTGAAGTGGTCAAAGTGGCCTCAATTTTAGCCATACAGTTTGAAAGGCTTATTTATTAACCACTGAAAATTATGAGAAAATTAGGTGTATGCAAATATCATGTCCATCAGAATAAAACACACTTTTTTTCATTGAGTACCACTATAAAAAGGGTCCCAAAATGCTGGGGTGCTTAAGCTCATCGCCATACCTTTGTTGCTGAAGAATACCTTCAAACTTGTTCCCAGAAGACGCTTTGTTTACTGAAGGTGGAGTGGAGTCATTTCCTGTAACATTAGATGAAAGCAGATTAATCCCAATGCCAAGCTGAGTCAGCATTAACCAGATGTCTTGTACTAAACATTATACTGCAGTCAATAAAACAAAGCAAAGAGCAGTATATGTGAATCTTGTGCAGTTATCCAAGGTAGTAATAGTCTGAGAGAAGATGGTTTTGTCTGGCAAGCAGGAAATACAACTTACAATAATTGAAAATATTGCTTTTGCTACAGACTCATTTCCCCTCTGCAGAAAACATTGCAACTACAACTTTCAGACCGACACTGAAAAGCACCCCCATTATTTACCAGCTGTGTAAACTGTGTTGTGGGTGGCTTTATCTAATAAATAGGATACATATAGGAGGGGAAACGCCATCCGTTACTGAAGAGCAGTCCCCACCTGGATGACACGTGGAATTTACCACGTTACCAAGGTTACCAAGTATAACACTTCTACCCTTCGAACAGTGCCGCAGGATGCTTGTTATCAAGTCATCAAATACAAAGGACAGCTACAGCACAATGTTGTGGTCCATTCTAGTCCAGAGGGAAGATCACCACCTACTGGTCCAGTGACAACAAAATTACTGCTGTAATTGGTATCTTGGATAGCGGCAGATCAGCTGGTTTTCAAGACAGCCTTCAATGACTGATAAGCAGAAATCTGGAAAGCTTGCCTCTCCTGATTAAGCAAATGATTGCTCCAATGAAGTCATTCAGAGTTCAGCAGGAATGAGAACCAGTGGACATTTTGGCTTTGCAAGAGAAGAGGTGCAGAGTCCTAGTCTGGAAGATGATAACACTGCTGTCAGTGCAGTGGGGGAGTTCAAGACAGACACTAAGCCAGAAAAAAATGTAATTAACTAACTTAAAAGCAATATTTTCAAATACTGAATACATTGTAAATACACAAATTTCATATATTATGGCACACACTCTTAATTAGTTTAACTAAAAATCTTCATCTTTCTGTTTTTACTACATGATAATGTTAGCATAATTATTATTAACATTTTGAAGTATACTGTTCACTTTTTAGAGTGATTCACAATGACTCATCTGATTAAAAATAGTTATATTATTTATTATTTATATGGTTATTGGCTGAGAGATGGCTGTCTTGGATTTCTGGGTTTGCCCTACACACACACTTTGACCAAGTAGCATGTTACATGACGTGGCAATACGATTTCTGAGCCTTCTATTCACAGAATCTGCACTTTTCCTCAAAGGGTTTTACAAATCCTGGTGCAGGAAAACAAAAACTTAGAAATAATTCACCTATCTGCAGACTTTATGGAGAGCACCCTGAGAGGTCTACCTCAAAGTGTCATTTTCTTTTTGGAAAGGAAGAAGGACTCTTAGCTAGATGGTGAATGTTTGTGCTGAAGTACTGTATGTTTTCAGTGACATGTTCCTGATACAACTACATGGATGCATGTTCTGTGGTCAGCCAATCAGAGCAGTGCTCCCACACAGTATGAAAATGGAGATGCAGACAATCTGCGCCTCTGGACACGTCTTACTGTGGAAAACGCAAAGACATCATGGAGTTGACTGCCTCACGCCACATGGTCACCATAATGTACAATAAAATGGCAACACACTTCTGGAAATGACACAGCCTGCTGCTTACGGTTGCAAAAACAAAGCAACTGGAAACTCAAGGTCTGCTGGGTTACAGCTTTTAAAAGGAAGTGTGTGACAGACAGGAAAGACATGTTCTTGACACACAACACTGTCCCACAAAACAGTCTAGGACTTGACACTGAAGGACAAGAAATATATTTATCATTTTAAATTCCAAACTGGGCTGTAGTGGTAACCAGATCTCAGGACTTTTCAGGCATTCAAGTGAAAGGTTTGAAAAGACTGGGAAGCAGAACTTTGTGGCCCCTCCCCTGAATGGGAATTGGGATGTTTTCCTCATTCATACTATTGTTTAAATGGATGAAAAATATTATTTTTTATTTCATTAATAGGCTTTGCCTCAATGATATTTTTTTTTGCTTGATCCCATTCCAGCAATGAACTGACTGATGGACATAATACTGTTATTTTTGTAACCCAAAAAGCAAAAAAAAAGACTCATCCTGTGCAAGTCAATCCTGTAAAAAATACATTTGGGCCTGAATTAATTCTACATTTTCACTTGCCTGCCAAACTCCATATCTCACTAGAAAAAGCTACCTTCAACTGACTAGTTTGGAGTTCGCATCTGGCAGCTGGATCAACGTTTTGAATGGGTGCAGACCTACATATGGTCTTATTACCATATTTTTTCATGCAATCTATGTATATTGTTAAGTCTTATGAGTTATAGACAGTAAATGCCAACGTAAGCATTACTGACTACAGGTAGCCATGGAAACCTACTCTATTTTTAAATATTCTTTTCTTGATTTTTTTATCTATGGCTGATCGGGATTTGGGAAGTGGAAGCTGGAGGATCTCAGGTTTTGCACGACTTTTTTAAATCAAAGAACGCTCCTAAATTTTCAATCTTCAGTTATTCAATGCTGACCCTTCCCTTCCTTAAATTGGTCTTTTTTCCAGAATTCAGAGACTTGAATTCCGTTTTCAAAGTTGGCAACAATTACTGTCTCATTTTCAGAGGTGATTCATTCTTTTGTTATTTGCATCCGAAAGAGAAAAGAAAAATTTTCTATTTCTTTTTACGCCGCGGATTGCTCTCACAACCATTGCCCCTGTGCTCCTGAATTCACCTGAGAAAACCAAACAGGCCAGTTTGGTTTTCACACACAACTGATTAAATTAGGTTTCTAAGAACTGAAAACAGTTCATTCAGGAACAGAAAAGACTATCACTGACTACCACAAAAAACTAACTGCTAAGGGTATGAAATCAACATTAAAGTTTTAAAAGGTTAAGGTGTCAGGAGTTCTAAGATCATCATCCTCATTGATTTGTGTCACAGTTTTATGGCTTCGTTGTGTTTTGTTTATTAATAAAAAAAACACAAGCATGGTGCTTAAAGTTTTCTGAATGTAGGCCTAGATATGCTGTCTATATTGTAGCTCCTTGCACAACTAAAACCCAGGAAATATCTACTGTTGTAGATTTCAAACCTCATTTATATATAGTTTTTTCATTTTTAAATTTTCAAATGCTCAAAAAATGTCTTTTCAGCTTTCGGTTTTGAAACATTTGCAATTCAAATACTTCAGCAGTCTGTCTCACCAAACAGAAAAGTACAACAGATGAGAAAGAGTTAAAACAAAGATGGCTCTAAACAGATTTCACTGTTGAATCCTAGAGAACGGGGGAAATTATGTAGGACAAGGACTGGCACTGTTTTTGGCTCACATGCTCAGAAATTCATAAGAGACTTGTTTTATTGAGTTGATTCTCGTGGAAATCTAATCAACATTTTAGGCCTTAGTTACAAATTGACCCCAATATCAACAGAATACAAAAAACAGTTTAAACTGAGAACTGATACAAGAAAGAACGCAAAATTATTTGTTCACAGCGTTAAGAGTCTTTCAGCTTGCAATTGGCAATGTCTAAGCAAAACAAGGAACCCTGTGGTGTCGTGTTGGCAACAGCAGTGATGGTTTAGGCAGTGCAGTCATGGAAACACTACACTACTTAACACCGCACAGAGACCCCGGTGTTCGTGGGTTTTTTTTTTGCTTTCATTCTTTCTTTTCTTTTACTGACTCACCCCAAGGAATCCCACCTTTATTCTGTGGGCCGTGAGGTAGAGGGCTTGGCGGGTCAGAGAGGGTGCGTTTGTGTCCGGGGGGAGGGGGCGGCGGTCTCTTCTTACACAGGGTGGAGCTGCCACTGGGGGGCTGTGAGCCGAGAGGGAGGGTGGAAGGAGGGCCAGAAGGAGCTAGAAGAGCACAGATAACACAGGCTTACTATAGCAGGACCCCAGACGCAAACACACTGATGCCATCGGTGGACAGCATCAGGCCTCCTCTGTGGATAGAGAGGTATGGCACAGGATTATTTTGAAGGGAGGGTTTGGGGTGGGGTGCTGGCTCAAAAACAGGCCAGGGCAGGAGCAGCAGAATCTCGCCTTCAGACTTCATGGTCACACGGATTCATGCAACAAGAAACAACCACATGACGACAAAATACAATGTTGACGTGCCCAGAAACAAACGACAGTAACTAAAAAAAAAATGTTATGAGTAAACAAATGACTGTGGAAGGAACGTTTGTTTGTATGCACCCATATAAGAACATAGAGGAGTATAAGACTTCTCAGTAGATGCCTCATTAAAATGTAAAGCTGTGCTTAAGAATATAACCCTAAAGAGATGGAGCTACCACTTGTGGGACTAGAATCGGGGTGCCACAAACGCATAACAGGTGTTGCAGTATGTGCAGGAAACACATACTTGACAGTTTTCAAAATGTTGAGGCTGTTGCTGAAGAAAACAGTATTGAGTCCAACAAAAAACTTTATAATGTGTAACCCATGACCCACATGATTATTATTTTAACCTTTCAGATTAATTAATCACTTAAAGCCAATGCCCTGTTTCTCTGTGTGTTTTAATGCTTGATCATGATGAATATGCCAAAAATACAAACTGCAAGTTCAAATGTATTTTTCTAATATCATTTTTTTAGTTTAACAACATTGAATTAAATTACTCTAGATATGTCTGTACTGTTGGCTGCTGCAGTCTTCTGTTCTCAATAGATGTACATTCATGAAGTGAAGAAGGATTACAGCATTGGCATTTAAAGAAGTCAAATTCACTTACATTACCATGATTGATGATGCATTTTTGGCCCTTGCAACAGAGGATGGTAGACATTTTCTGAACCACATTCCCCACAAATCAGTGAGGGGTTACCTGCCATCCTCTAACACTGACCAACTGGTGAAAGACAGTTTGGTGGGTGACAGTTAAAAACATCTTAGCTGCCCAACTACTGATAGGGAGGAATATGTAGAAGTTTAGTTTAGAGCACAAAGAGAACTGGGTTTTGTTTGGATTGGGAAGTGTTATTGCAGGGAGTGATACAACTTTTCAATTAAAAACAACCTTCTTCATGGTGTTTTGTATGCAAATCAAGTACATCTGCTACATGTGTGCTATAAGTACACTTTATGCAAGAAGGCATTGTACAACTAATATTGTAAATCACTGATTAACAGTTTGACACGGCCCTCTGTTTTGAAACTAATTTGTGTCTCAAGATTTTCCTTAATCACGGTTGTGCTTGGTTAGCATTGCTGCCTTGCAGCACTGGGGTACTGGGTTCAATTGTTGGGGTGCTACCTGTCTGGAGTTTGTATGTTCTCCCTGTGTTCTTGTGGGTTTCTTTGGGTGCTCTGGTTTCTTCTCACAGTCCAAAGAAATGCTGGTAGGTTAATTGGCTTCTGCGAAACTGGCCCTGGTGTCTGTGAGTGTCATGCAATGAACTAGTGTCCCATCCAGGGTGTAACCTGCCTATTGGCCAATTCTTCCTGGGATAGGTTCTGGGCCACATTTACCCTGAGTTGGATAAACAGTTATTGAAAGTGATGGTGATGATGCTTTTCCATAACTCTTTATAGTTTGTAGGTCTTCAAAAACTTGTATAAACTTTTTTAAACTTGTATAAAATGCTCATACTTCCTTTGCTTTAATTTTATACTGAACGTTAAGAATTACCTTTACTTTGACAATTTTTCTATGAAATCTAGCATAGGAATACTGAAGTTCAATACTCATCAAGTTGTAATTTTTCAACATTTAATCAACTTCCATACTTATAGATCTCCCAGAGCAAAGTCATTCCTGGAATTGGCTTTTTATGAAATAACTACTTACCTCCAGATCCTTAGAAACGTAATAAATATAACTTCATACACATAACTTCATAAGAAGAAATTACAGCTAATATTGCAAGTGAACTAAATTGCCTTTGCTTCTGTTTCCAAAAATGTGAAGCATTCCTTGAAAATAAATTTCATTGCAACATTCCAGCTATGCCACTCAAATCCATCAGAGAGTTTCATATAGTGTGGATTCTAAAATTAAAAAAGATAAAGACACAAAGAACTACCAGCATATTTGCCACTTTGCATAAACTGGATAAAGGAAAGCTTCAAATGAAGGTCTGTGTTGCAAGCCAATAAAACCAAGCAATTCTTAATTGTTAAAACAGAAAAATATTTTTTTCCTATTAAACAAATATAAAAAATAGTACTACGAATCAAACATTACCACACAGTGTTTTGTGCTCCTGAGGTGCAGTGCTACAGCGTCACGATTAGTGGAAAGGATCAGACCCCTATTATGAGTGTATAAATCTGAGCCAAGACCACACAAGCAGGCACAAAGGGTGACATGATTTTGTCTTTGAAAAAAGGATCAGTCTGCCATTCTCTTCTAGAATCCAAGCGATTCCTGATGTATGATCCTTAGGCAACAGTATCGGAGGGACCACAACACACCTATTAGCCATCCCTATCTATTATGTACTGTATGTAACCAGCAGACAGAATAATAACAATGTATTCTCATGACAGCACCATAGCTCACACCTGGTTTACCAAGTTGATCAAGCGTGACAGCCGCAGAACCACGGAAGTCCCAGTCGTGTGCCTACCTTTGCCTGCGTTTCTGGGAGGAAGAGGAGGAGCATCGATGCCAGGCGAAGTGGGGGAGTCGGTGCTGGCGCTGTATATCTGATTGGTGAAGGCGCCGTAGGACAAGCGCTGCTTGTCACGCTGGCTGCCAAAGCCCGGAAGGGCCAGCTTGTCCTGGGGAGAGAGGCTGGAAGAGTGGCAGAAGCTCTGCGGCCTGGGGGAGCGCTCCTTCTTTATCGGGCTGGGCTGCAAGGGCAAACCGACAAAGAGGCAGGACACATTTCAGCTGGCTCGGCTGCTGGTTCACTTCCTGGGGCCCTCACTGGCCTTCCTGTACCCCCCGGGTACAAATGTGTAACCATGATTCCTTACCAACACTGTAGCGTAACGGCAAGCAAAATCCTCAAAATGTGCCCTGACTCCAACATACAGTACCTGACTTTAATATCTGTTAAATCTGTTGCAGGCCTCCCATATTTGGATTTATATCTAGAAACTGTAAGCTCATGCTTAGTAACTCCAGAGAAACAAATCAATAGTGGAGCAGATATGTGTGTTAATTTTCTTCACTCTATGCACATTCTAGTACCATAACAAGAAGACTGCCATGAAGAAGTATTTCAGATCCAGTTTGTTAGACATTATCAGACTCCTGCTGCTCTTTCACAAGCTCTGGGCTTGTCTACAGTGAGGCTCTTTCTGGTCTTCTGTATTTTTAACAGTTGGTCTGATATACAGGACACACGGGGCCAACAGTAACACCCCGCAGAGCACAAGTTTCAGGGAGCAGGATGGTGTTCCACGTGAGCATGCAAATATTAATCGATGATCAGGCATGTGGAATTAGCCACATGGTGTATGAAGGAGCCCTCTGCTTCCCCCGTCAGCCAGGGAAGGTTCTCAGCGCCGAGAGCACCACTTCAAGGCAGGGTCGTCGCAAACCCTGGGAGCGTAACGGACATAAAAGTTCAGATAATGGTAACTAGGTGTGACGACCTATTTCTTAGTGCAGGAGCGACATGGCTTTCCTCCCTACGACAAAACAACCTGGGAGAGACGAGACAGCGACCCAGGAAAAGAGCCCTGCTGCTAGGATGACTAGGCAATGGGTCCCTGGGGCAGAGTGGACAGCTGTCCCTGAAAAGCACAGTCACCCCCTCTGCTTTCCAGATGGATCAGGGGTGAAGAGGAACAGCTTTCTGTCACCCAGAAGGGGATGAATAGGAATAAGTACAATAATCCTGTACAGGAGTAGTACTGCAATTAACAGAGTAGTTGAAGACAGAGAATGAGTTTGCTGAAGTAGTGGAATTTCTGAAAACCTGTAGCATAAGACCTACTGCGGAAGCAGCCAGTGTAGGAGCTGTGCAGTGAGATCTAGAGCGGTGTAGCATCCCTTAAAAATGAAATCCCTAAAAATGAAAGAAGATCTGAAATCGTGGCGAAACAACAAGGAGCACAAACCCTGAACAAGAACTGTTGCACTGTTTTTGTCCTGTTTGTTTGCGTATTTGCGCAGGTTTTGACGATTTGCACTGGGACCTTACTGTTGTTTACACTGTTATTGTTATTGTATTACTTTCGATTTATATACTGCACCTGCAAGAGAAACACTTTTCACTATACTATGCACCCGTGTATGTATAATGACAAATAAAGTTGAGTTATCTGAACATAAGAGAACTTCAGGGTGTCACAGTAAGTTGGCTTTCTGGTTCTGGAGACAGCACGACAACACCTGCAGCTCGGCAGAGAGGTGGGCAAGTCCATAAGATCTTAAAGAGTAACAGAGCCACTGGACCATAGATCCAGTCTGATTAAGTGGGTATATTTCTGAATAGAGAATATCTGCTGACTAGCAGTGACATTATTACAGTTACTTTACAAGTTAATCATAATGACCTTTACTGGATCTTGGGCTTTTGATCTCTTAGGCTGTTTTTACTCTCCGCTACTATTTAAGCATCTTTGTCTAGATTTTTCTCAAATGTGTTGTCAGTTACATTGATTCATGTAAAATATTAATATTAAACACTACTTTTTAAACCATCAACCTATTCTCATGCTCTGCCCATTTGTGAATGGACTGAAAGTGGTTTTAAAACCTTGAGAAGACAAATGTAAAAAGATGGCTTCTGTATGAACTATAATGAAATATCTGCATCAGATATTTGTATGGCTAAAAGGGGATGCTTAAAGAGATCCACATGAACGTTTTAAGTCTTGACACAGAAATGAAACAGCTTGAGCAAGTTACAAAGCATAAAATGGAGCTGACACAGACACATCGACACCTGATAGTTTGATATTTGGACTGTCATGCAGAAAGCTGAAATTTGCACTACAGGGTCAGTGCCAAGGGATGTTTGGACAACTGCACTGTTGGGTGCTGAGAAAGCCTTTTCAAAGAACTGCATCAAAAAATGTGTGTTGTGTATTGTGTAGTAATACAAATGTACGCTCACACAAACAAGGCCAAGGGAAACAAGTGTGGGGATCGGGCAGCTTACTGTGGCCATGTACAGTACGATGTCCTACCATTCAAACAAGCCAACGCTAACACACACCGGTCACACTGAGCCAATGTGGTGTCCTCTGGAGTGCATTGCTGCTAGCCAAAGGCCAGTTTCCCTTGATCCAGCATTTTTTCCACACTTAATTTCACTGTTCAATGCACAGGTTTCACCTTACAGTTATTTGAGCACAGTAGCAAACCCCCTGCCTCTTGTTTGTAATGGAAATGAGTCGAGCTGCGACGTGGGTCTGCTTCCTGTGCTCACCTTGTCATCCAAGTCGTCGTCGCTTTCATCGATCTCCTCCAGCCTCAGGTTCCACTCATACTCCACGTGAACGTGAGGGTTAAACTTGCCAGCCGCAGCCTGGACTAGCTGAGGGAAGCATGCGAGATATTGTAGTGAACCTAGTAACAGCACACGGCATGGCAATAATCAATCAGCAAGCTATATTCAGCGTCTGACATTCAAATTCTCCTTTCATATGAACTGGGTCCACTAGAGTCCATGATACAGTGGTAGTGCTAAAACATTCATGAAATACACTACCTGAATTTGTCTTTCATGAAATAACATTTAAAAAATGCTGCGCTGACCATATTTGATGTTTAACTAATATCACAAATTTTAAAAATACAATAAAATGCAGGAGGGAATGGATACACGCTCACAAACTACATGAATGAATCCAAACTTTGCCGATACATTACAAATGAATGCAACATGATTATCATTGCCACCTAGTGGTAGAAACAGTGTTTCTCATGGCACATAAGAAAGTCATTCACTGGTGTTCAACTAGATAAGAGCTCATTCCTTGAAAGCACTAAATTACTATGAGTACCTAATTTTTAAAGATTTGAAGTCAAGTGTAGGGGTATTACTAGGCAAATAAAACCCACATCCAACAGTAAAAACACTTCTTGGAAATAACAATTAAATGGCTTTATAGGGAATATAGTATTTTTCATAGAGAATACTAAAATATTGGATAGTCAAAAGACTGAATAAAGACTGTAGCTGACCAGAATGCTCAGCCTGACTAATTCTGACCAATAAATGTCAGAATTTATGTTTTCAGTTCAAAGAAGCTGTTCTGAGTAACTTCTCACAAACAGGTTTGTTTTTCACCTTCTTGTTAATGATGACAGACACTTCATGTTTTTAGGAAAGTCACTTTCGGTTAAAGGAAGACTTACCACCAAAAAAAACTAGGTAAGTAGGTTATTCCATTCAAGCTACACACAATGGCTCATTGGGCAGAGAACACATGACTCTCCCCCTGGATGTGTCTGCAGCAGTGGGTTCCCTAATACAGCTGGATAGACTGGAGCACCTGGGGTCAAGGTCCTTGTCTACACTGGGGACTTAACCCACAACCCACCAGGTATGAGGCCAGAGATGTACCCACTACACTAGACTGCCTTCTAAGCTGACCAACAATATGAAGCTTTAAAAAAAATGCGTAACAGTATGAAACACTATGAAACAGTATGAAACACTTACTGCCTCTTCACACTGTGAATTCCTCAGTCTCCTGGCAATGTCCAGTGCCGTCTCCCCATTCTGGTTTGCTGCAAGGATGAAGAGCTTTCACTAGGGAGGCATTAGGAATGGATCTTTTCTTTGAAAACAGCAAAAAAAAAAATCATCTGCCCTCTCCCCTTTAACTAGTTAGGGACTCTTCAACCAAGCACATAGCCACTGCCCAGGTAAAGTGAAAATACTGTGACAATGACAACTGCACGTGGTGACAGTAAAAACCCCAAGATATTTATTTTTGTCTGCTTAGAAGGTTTATTTCTATCTTCAATTAATGTGCTCGCTCTCTTTGCACCACAGTATTTCCAAGTTCCTGGCTCAAGAGAGACAGACTCACTTATATCAGTAGACGGCTTTCCTCTCAGGAGGAGCTTGAGGCATTCGTGTTTCTCGTACACACAGCAGTAATGTAGTGCTGTGTTTCCCTTTTCAGTCTGCTTATCCAGGTTGCCACTAACACACAAAAAAGAAATAAAAAGCGTTGTCAGGGAACAAAAACCTATTATCTAGACAGAAACGAGCTGTTTTTTTTGTACAGCAGACAGCATGGTTTAAAGGATTCTGAAAAGTGACAAATTACTTAACTGCAGGTTATCTATTCAAGTTGGAGGGTGTTTGTTACTACCTGAAGTTGCCAAAATATCAAAAGGTCTGACATTACCATCACATCCAGACCCAGATTGCATTTTTTACCACTGAGAATTGCTTTTTTAAAAAGAATTTGAAATGGTAAAATACAGTGGAAAAATTGGAAGAACCCCTTTGCTGAAAAATTCTTATTCCTCTTGAAAATGATAAACCCACAGCCTCAAAACAGAACACCTACTGTTCAAATTCAGCCCCAATTATTTTTAATATCCTTCCTTTTGTCTATGTGAAGAGCGAGCATTACATTAAAGCAAGATTGCTCAGTCCTGGTAACCTTCAGCATTTGCTGATTAACTTGATGGTTGAAAAAAAAACAATGTTCGCAATGTTCTTCATCTGCCAGAGATTAATCTGACAGAGATTACTTACTACATTTTAAGGGTATATTAAAAATCTGCAGCTTTTTAGAATTATAAATATTAATTAAGCAGATAATTAGCTATATTAAGAGTTGAATTACTGTCAATGAAAGGGAGCTCAGCTACAGCCAAAACTAGCTGCATTAGTCGTAACCAGCACCAGAATTAAGAAGCGATAAATTAGCAATGGACCAGGATGTCCTTACATGGATCCAGGGTTGCTATTAAAGGCAAGAGTGACTTTGGGGATACTTGCAGATGATTTTAACTCCAGCTCTTTCTAACAAGTACAATTTAGATCAAAGCTACCACACAGATAACATTATAATTAGGGTCTGAAGTACTGTTAAAGCTTGTGTTCAGGGCTAAAGCTATATTTGAAATGGCTAACTTTAAAAAAGTTTGAGGTGTAGGTGTGCTTAATTTTAAATTTTGCTATGGGCAACATTTGGGATAAGGGCTATTGGTCAGTACCTTGCTCCCTACTTTTTATCATAGCTAAAACAAAATACTTGCATAGCAGTTACCTTACAGAGTGATATAAAACTTAACCTGTCCAACTCAATCTGAGCCTTAAATATTTGAAAGTCTGTCTAAATTAACTACCAGTCTAACAGACCTCAAATGGCAACAACCTTCCTACACATGGAACTCAAATTTCTCTTATCCAATTTTGTAAAAAATATTTTTTCAGGAATATGGCTTGGATTATAGTAAAGGGTTGGGTCATCATTAATCTGAATTAAGGCTACAGTTAAACATAAGAGTGATGCTGAAGTTACACTTGAATCGTATTGTAATATTTGTCTCCTACAAGAACATTTTAATCATAGGCTAGGGTTCACATGGAATTCAAACTAGTGTGAGGACTGGGGCGGAGCTAAAGTTAAAATTGCAGTTACTTCTGAAGACCAAGCTTGAAGGGAGGTAACAGACATATTTTAAGAACATATCATGTACGAAAGGCCAAGTGGCCCCTCTAGCTTGCCCATCAGCCCTATCAATAGCTCATTTCATTTTGATTGATTGACCATATTCGACAGATTGATACACCTTAGGTGACCAGACTCTCACTACCCTAAGTGTAAGAAAGTGCCTCCTGTTCTCAGTTTTAAATGGTCTTCCCCATAGTTTCTATTTCCACTCTTATTCCACAAGGATAGGAGTGTCGGAAGTGCAAATACATTCTGGATTGGGATTTAGGAAATGACATGGAGATTATTGTCATTTTTTGGTATGTTTGCTTCACTAATTGTATAGAAGGTTGAACATTTTTATGTTTGGAAAGCCTTTAATGCTGCCTTTAGACAAATGACTTTTTTTTGTCCAGTTAAGGAGATGCAACACTGGTCAACACTGCATAGTGCTGACTCTAGAGAAGTGAATTTGTCAACAATGAACAATGTGTCACAAATTATAGCATTCACTTCATTGTATAATAATTTTAAGAATTTGTCAATTTAACCTTACTTGTTTAGATACAGTATATACAATAATCTTTCTGAAGCATTCTTTCTCATATAAAAGGGAACACAGGAAGAGAAAAAATGAACAGAAAGAAAACTCAATGACTGTATAGAACAGTTTAACCACAGAGTGGCAATCTCCCATTTGAAGCAATTCGTTTTCAGATTAAGCTCATTTTTCTTTGAGGGCTTCAGTAAAAAGAGCATTAGTTAAAAACCTGGGGTTTTCAATGCATTGGTTCCAGCAACAATAACTATAAATTTTAACATTTTAAAGGGTTTTCTTCTTTCCAACAGCTAGATTAAATTTTCTTTGTACCACAAAAAACACAAAAAGTGAACTACCGACAATATCTTCTAACATAGCCTGCGGGATTTAGTGTGATTTATATTTCAACAGATATCAACAACAGTATAATCAAGTTGCATAACAGGATACCACTACCAATAGTACCAGTATTGTCAGTAAAAATCTTACTGATCACACGGAAATTGAACCACAAATAAATGAAAATACTACTGTTTTACATCAATGTTTACTTTCTATGGGCCTGTACCTTGTAGATTTAATATGACCACACAGATAAGTAACCACTAGAAACAGAAAGTTGACCTGGCTTGTCTGAAGGTTCTCTTTCATTATTCTCCTAACAAAAAAAAGCAAATCAGTGTTGAAAAGCACACAATCGCAACTTTGGCATGATAAATTAAAAACAACCTCAGCAGTATGTACAGCCATTGACTGAAAAAAAGGTTTGCAACATTTTGCAAGTGTTTTACCACAAAGTGACAACACAGCTAAATGGCAATACTTTAGGGAAATATAGCAGTTCATGTTGTTTTTTTCCCCCGATTGACTAAGGCCACCTACTACTTTTGTTTGCTTTCAGACTGGGTGAAGTTTTTCAGACTCCTTGTTTCTGGAGGCATCTGAGAACAAGCTGAACCATGAACTTTAACCTTGACATAGTACCTTTTCCTCTTGAACTTATTTCCACAGATAGGTGCACAACAAATGTGTCACTGCATGATAACACTAAGTTTTAAATGTTATAATGTCAATAAAAGGTTGATGGTTCTAATCCTGGGTGTGATAATATTGGTCTTTTATACAGTATACAGTAACAATAGTTTTCCACACACTTGCATCATTTAATCAGAAATGTTTGTAAAAAACACTCCCTGTCACAGCTTCCTAACTGTAACTGCGTAGTCCTCTGTTTTCATTTTATCCATACCTGTTCTGAACAAGAAAATCGACCAGATGCAGTGAGGTCTGGTCTGCAGTCCGTACTGAGAAGTGAAGTGCTGTCTCTCCTGGCTCCTGAATAAAACAACAACAAAAAAAACAGTACTGAAGATGTGCTAGTAGGGTTTAGACCCCATCTTCAATAAACAAATACACCAAAATAAAAATAAAAACTGCTGAGAGGACTATGAAATTAAGGAGTGAAGCTTTCTTGCAGACATTAAATAATTACCCCTTGTTAATAAACATGGGTTTCTTATTTTGGCTCTAAACAAAAGAATTAGCTTTTACTGCTTTTGCTCTGAAGACTTAATAAGCCTTTGATGACCAAAAGAAAAAAGGCATTACAATTATGGAATACGAAAGCAATTTTGTCTGTGAAATCCCCAAAGTCTCAGTTTGCTTTTTTGTTTTTCTTTTGATCGTCTCAACACATGGGAGTCTTCAGACAAATATTTATGAATTCCATGACACACACAAAGAGTAAAGGAAATATTTAAGCTACACAGTTAAATATTTTAACTATTTTTTGAAGCACATAATGACATTAGACAAGAATTGTGAATGACTTAGTAACTGTTCAATGCTTTTAAAGATAAAAGCTCTGGCCAAAATAAACATAAAAACATACATGACTGAGCTGTAAAAGACACTTCTCACTCCATATTCCTGGTTTCATTTTGATTGATTGGCCTTATTTGATAGATTGATACACCCTAGGTGACTCTGACAGTTGCAAAAGCACTAAAACCTCATACCTCACTACCAAGAGTTCATTGGCCACAAGTAATGAGGTGATTTAACCTGTACCCAAAATGCTCCGCTTATCAAGAGGACAATGCCTTTGTGCCATCAAGAGGTTGAAGGTTGGTCTAAGTTGGCAAACTTAGGCTCATTCTCTGGGATTGATCGCAACCAACAATTTCTAACCTGGCAAATACAATTTAATTGCAGTTAAATGCAGTCCGCCACATGTTGTGAGTCATGATCTCGCACATCTCTCCAATACTGACACATCATCATCATCCCAGTGTGACGGTCTAGGCACAGTATCAAGCCATTACCAAACTCTACTTGTTGCAATTAATGGCAATGAGACTCCACTGTGCTAGACTGATCTAGACATCACCTTCTACCCTTCCTATGGGTTCAAGCTGACATGAAAACGACCCAGCAGGACAACACACATTCTCGTGCAGCTTTCTTGTGAGATGAGAATGCCTCACACTCTAGAACTCAGCCTCACTTAATTGTGGGATGAGCTGGGATAACCTATGGTCTCTAGGGTTCAAATGTAGTGGAGCTAGTGTGGTGACGTCAGCGCCTTCCCTGCGCGTAGCAGGGTCCTCAGCTGCCTGGGCTAAGGGAGGTCTCCTTAAGCTCACGCGGTTGGTGCCCTGTTGCGTTACGCCGGAGACCCGGGTTCGCGCCCCAGGTGTGTGGGACGGAACGGGTGGCGGGGGGCACGACCCCGCGCGGAACCGCGACAATCACACAAAGACCACTGAACAGGTACAGGTACTGTACGTGCTTATATAGGCTCTACGAGACAGGACAGAATCCCTCAAGACAGCATCCGCAACAGGTGCAATGATTAACTCTCATGTGTACAGCTTGTATTGCTTCCAACACAAGCTACTAGCCTGTGACTTTCACTGTTACCCATTTATCACCATAATGAATTTACCTAGGACATGCCTGTCCAATAAAATGTCAGTGTATGCGCTAAGAAAAGAGTTTGAGTATCTTTTGAATATGTTGCAGTTGTAAGTGATTCGTTTCTTTTGACATTCGCTATACATTATCCATTTTAGTGCATTATGCATTCATACAGATTTCCCAAATAAAAGTTTATTACTTATTGAAAAACTTATAATTATAGCCCAGGAATACTGAGAAACGTGCAAAATTCGGTCAGCCTGTCCCAGCCAAAACAAATATCTACATCATTGCTACTATATTGTTTATCGCTAATCATATGCAAGACACAGCTTTAAGCACAAAGTTTTACAGGATATGTAAAAGCTCCCTTAAGCATAGCCTTCAAATTCAACACAGGCTCTGATGGACAGCGTGAAACAAATACTGAACAACCTACTCTTGGGAATATTACACCTTTTTAGTCTTCATTATTAAAAATTCACATAACCTTTAGTAATACCTTTAATAATCGATATAATCTATATTATATCTATATAACCCTTTTTTCAAAATTCATCACTTTCTCTTAGTCTCCAGATTTCTTACAAATACTCCAACAGTACCAAATCACAGAGAACTGACTTTCATATCACCTGCACCAATCTATTTTAATAATGCACTGAACTGTACAATTTAAGAGGTATGTTTGTATTTAATCCTCAAGGCAATCTGAATTATGTACAGTCTAGTGCATTGCAGCAATATGGTACAAACAGTGGGAAACAACAGCTAAGTGCAGTAGTACATGCACGGCGGAAGAAATATCATTGGGGAAATACAATGGTTTTGGGATCACAATAAAACAAATTTTATTTAGGTTCGAACATACAGGAAATTATTTGTGTTCATGGATGGATCAGAACAGATTCTAAGACGAAATACAAGGGTGAGTAACGGAAAATACTGTCACATGTAACTGAAGTGAATGGATGAATTTTTAGCCTTTAGCCTTTCTGGTCTTTTATTTTTAACCATAAAAGCAGTGAGTATAAATACTGCTGTAGAACAGAGAGCAATCTATCATTTACCATTCCATTGTCTCTTTTCAATCCTTTTCTCGCTATTATGGTCTGCCTGACGACAGGCACAAACGTTTCCAGTGTCAGAATTCTTCAGAATATTTTTTTAAAGGTTAAAGCAGAAACAAGAGAATTCTTCTGCTGGTCAAAGTCATTCGACCCCCTTTGAGGCCAGATCAGCAGACAGACAGTCACAGCAGGAGCCCTCACCTGGCCAGTCTCTGGCAGTGGTTCCATGAGCTCCACCCCCTCTGCATAGACTTGAATTAGTGCAAGTAGATCCCTGGATTTCACAGCTTCAAACAGCTCGCTCATCTTGGCGGCCGCTGAAGTGCAGGTCTTCCGAGCAAACTTGTGGTCTACGTATTTAGCGTTGATAAACTCTTTGCGCGCTGTCCTGTTGATGTAAGCAAACAACAACACAAAAAGCAGCTAAGGATTCTGTCTTACCGGAACACCACTGAGTTTCTTGTCTAAATTTAGAGCCTTTTTGGGAACATCAAGTTTGAAAATAAGGCAGTACAGCTATGGCTGGAAATTACAGTTCTTAACTTGATCAGATTCTTTCTACTAGCACACAGAGGAGAAAAAGATCTCTAGAACTTCCACTTGAACCACTGTTCGCAGTATTTACCGGGGGGTGTGAAGTAACAAAGCAGAACTACTTCACTACAGTAATCGAGCGCTTTTGTTTTAGGTCCGTATTTTATTTAAGTATTTTATTTGTGGGTTACTTGTCACGGACGTCCAAAGGGACTAACCATGGGGAGCAGGAGAGCGGCAAAAGACCCATATGCGTAGCGGCGAGACGGGAAAAAGGCCCGGGCTCATTAGTGCAAAGAGTTCAGGAATGCCGTATAGAAACCTATGCCCTCAGGGAGCGGACGTGGGGCGCCCTGGTGCTAGGCAGGTCTCAGGACATCCGAACATCAATGCTGAGCGAGGACAGAGTGCAAGACCCAGAAATATATAGCCCAAGGAAGAGAGGGACAGGAAGGATAGCAGACCGGAAACTAGGGACAGGACAGAGAAGGAGCGCCCTCTGGCTGCAGAGGGCATTACATTACTTTGACTGTCACTGAAGTATTTTGGATTAGAAAACATGGTACGTTTACTCTACTACATTTCCGAGATGCTATGACACCTTTGTATGTTTACTTGAGTAGTTTTCTCAAATGGAAACTTTTACGGAATTGCTTATTTTTGGAAGTAACAGTACTTTGACTCAAGTGACATGTTTGAGAACTTTTTACAACCCTGGTATCTGCACAGATGGAGCCGAGTAGTGGTGCTGCTCTCACAGATATGATAATTTGATCAAAGATGACTAACAAGGTACTTCCAAAACCTGATAGGCACTGACAAGGTCAAATCAATGGAAACAATAGTGAAACACAAACCAGAGGACAGAAGTAGAACAATCTACTCAGCCATATTATTGAAGCCTGAAGCCCTGGCTTGCCTCAGGAAACAGCTGAATGAGATGCTTGAGTCAATAAGTGACTAACTACCAAACAGACTATGACCTCCCCTCCTTTGTAAAACTGACAATACAATTGTGTGCTGCTGCTCATGAAGACTCAGTCACACTTGTGTAATGAAACAGCCTTGCTTTGAACTGCAGATTATCTTTTCTATTCGTGTTTAAAAAAAATAGCTTCACCTGTCTGAGCCACCAGTAGCCCATACTGTATGAAATATTTTGGTGTGGTGTGAGCCTGACCAGTACTTGGATGGGAGACCTCCTGGGAAAGCTAAGGTTGCTGCTGGAAGATTTATTAGTGGAAGTAGTAGAGGGCACTCACCCCACAGTCTGTATGGGTCCTAGTGACCCAGTATACCGTACTGTATCTATCACTATACTGTAAAAAAGCTCAGTCATTTGGATGAGACGCAAAATCCTGACTCTCCATGGTCATTCAAAATCCCTGGGCACTTCTCGAAAAGAGTCGGAGTGTTAACCTTGGTTTCCTGTCCAAATTTCCCCCTGGACTTTACCAATCATGGCCTCCTAATAATCCCCCATCTTGAACTGGCTTCATTACTCTGTTCCCTTCCCTACTGACAGCTAATGTGCGGTCAGCAGACTGGCGTACTTTGGCTGCTGTCACATCATCCAGGTATGTGCTGCACATTGGTGGTGTTGGAGGGGATTCCCCATTACCTGTAAATCGCTTTGAGTGGAGTGTCCAGAAAAGCACAATAGAAGTGTAAGCAACTATATTTTGCTCAGATGTGCAGCACCTTAAAGAACATTTGACAGAGGAACTTTGTTACTAAAAACACATTTTTAATTCCTCTTCATAAGACATTGCTAACGCAGATTCTTACAGTACATTTGTAACACGTTCTGTACATTCCCCAGGTTACTCACATGTCGCTTGATGGTGTGGGCTTCGGTGAAGGAAAAGGAAGGTTTCCTTCCATAATGTCATTAAAACTACTGTTTCCTACATTCTTGGCCAGCTGAAAAACAGACACCAAATAAAATGTCAGCAAGGAACTGAAGTTAGGACAGTAATAATAAAGGGCAGTATTCACAAATTAAGTTCAG